GCAAATGCACTTAACCACTGAGACACCCCCTTGATTATTTTTAAATTTGTGTTCATTCATTGTATAAAATGAAGGGTTTTGTTTTTATTACGGCATTGTATCTATACACTTTGCTCAGATTCACCCCTCACTCCACCCCCACCTCACCCCACCCCACCCGACACCCCACACCTTGAACGGTTGTCTTCCCACTGCCTCTCATTCTCTCCATGAGTCCCTGTTTCTCCTTTCATGTTTTGTTTGTTTGTTTGCTTTTTTATGTTTTCTGATCTAGATTGTGAATGTAAGAGAAAGCATTCATTTATTGTCTTGTAACTTAATGATGCCTGTGCATTTAATCTCTGAGTAACTTAAAAACCAGTCTGCCCACTTGCCAATTGAGGAAATGGGTTTTCAAAGAGTAACTGGCTCGACATTGTATGGTTAATAAATTACAGAAATGGACATTAAACCGGATTTCCTCAATGCCACTAGTTTATAATAAGTTCCCTTTGCCTCCCATGGTTTCCAACTCAAATGTGTCTCAGTCAGCAACGTATTCACATGGCGTGCAACTAGGAGACTTTGGTTGTTGTTCTCAGCCCCCAAATTTCTGGCTCCATCCTCCCACCCTGCTACCCTACCTCAGAAGCAGACACTTTCAAATGTCTGCCCTTCCCCTGTCAGTCTGCAGCCACCATCTCCCAGACCCTTGGCTTTCCATTAGGTTATGGTAAGCAATATAGTGGTACTCCAGAAGGGACAGCCATCCTGGCCTAGTCCTAGGAGAAGGAGAAGGCAGGGGCTTCCTCATCTGCAGGGGAGTGGATGTTGATAAACCTGAGCCACAGTTTAGCATTCTCCATTCTACTTTGAAGAGGAAATGCAGGCAAGGCTCTGAAGGGATAAAGCTGGACAAACACAAACACTGGGATGAAGGCTAGCTCCTCCAAAGAAATAGATCTAAAACTATGTACTGAGGGGCTGGAACAATGGCTCAATAGTTAAGAGCACTTGTTGCTCTTCCAAAGATCCTCATTACACCCACAGCATGCACAGAGCAGCTCACAGCCTTCTCTAACCCAAGGGGATCCAACACTTTCTCCTGCCTCCAAGGGCTCCAACTGCACATGGTGTACAGACATACATACAGGCAAAACACCCATACAAACACAAAAAGCTTTTTTTTTTTTTTTAAAGCCAAGTTGTTGTGGCGCACGCCTTTAATCCCAGCAATTGGGAGTCAGAGGCAGATGGATCTCTGAGTTCGAGACCAGCCTGGTTTACAAAAGCTAGTTCCAGGACAGCCTCCAAAGCCACAGAGAAACCCTGTCTTGAATAAATAAAATTTTGCATTAAACCCCAACTAGGCACCAGACCACCTACCGAGGATACCATAGAGGTCACCCAGAGGTGAAGGGTAGATAGGACCTGCACACGCCTGAAGATTAGATTAGACCCAGCTTTGGTGTGTACTTTGGAGAAAGAGCTCACTGTAGGCAGCGTTCAAGAGGTTCCGGGTTCAAACTCCAGCGCCAAAAGAAATTACTTAAAAGGTAAACAAATACATAAAAATGGTGATTTTTTTTCCAAATTGCTAAGAAGTAAACAAACAAGAGGCTGAGAAAGGAGTGATGGGTGGGAGTGAAGATTCCAGATAAAAGGAAAGAAACGAAGGGACAGGACATGACACACTGATCTGGGAGATGAAGGGGAGGGGAATGGGGGATTCAAGCAACTCAGGGCCTGTTTCTCTAGGATGAGAACACTGGGCTCTGATCCAGCTGGTGCTCTCAACCTCTGGTACTTCCTGGCTTTAGCTCATCACCCAGCCCCCAGTCCTACACTCCACTCATTGATTCAATGATTCACTTTCCATCTTTCCCTGGCTTCCTGGGTGGCAGAGTCCCCAGTCTCCAGAGATGGTGGAAAATGGGGTGAGAATGAGTAAGAATGAGTGGCGACAAGCTGGGTTCTTTGGGACATCCCTGTATGGGGAGGATAGTGAGGCTAACTAGGCCCAGCTGGAGTTAGGTCTCCAGATGTGGGAGTTAGTGTTGAAACCTGAACCTAAGGTCTCTCTTTTGTTTTCCCTGAAGCCCTGAGGAAGTTTTCCATCACAAACAAGTTATGCATTCCTAACTTTAGGGGCCTCCTCTCCCCCTTCTCCCACCAGACAGTTTCCTTCCATCCTCATCATCACCTTCCTGGTGTGTGAGTTACCTTGGGGAAGGTAATGGGAATGCTGGCAGATAGAAGAAAGATGACATTTGTTTATGCCTACGGGAAGAGGTGTATGTAATGAAGAATTGTCTCCTGTGTTTCGATGGGGCTCATAAGCCCAGCAAACAGTCATATACACAGTAGCGAAACCTCTATTCCTAACACAAGTGTGAGGCTGATTTGATTTCCTAAGCATCCTTATTGTATGTGTATGTTTGGCCTTTGTGGATGTCTGTGCCCCTGACTCCAAAGGAGATCAGAAGATACTATTGGAACTGGAGTCATAGATGCTGGTCAAAGCCAGGTCCTCGGCAAGAGCAGAAACTCTCATAGCCACTTCTCCAGCTCCCCAGCTTTTCCTAAGATACTGTTTCTCTGGGAAGTTTAAAGGAATGTATTCATGTTCCAGAAGCTTGGAGGCCCTAGCCAGTCTGAAAATGTTATAGTTCTATATTTTCGTCTTTTCTTAATAAGATTACTGAGGGGTTAGAAGAAGGCTCAGTTTACTGCTCCTTCAGAAGGCCATAGTTTGGTTCCCAGCACCCATAACAGGCAGCCTATAACCACCTGTGACTCCAATTCCAGGGGTCCAGCACTCCTCTTCTGGCTCGTTCGGCCATGTGGATTGCACATGACTATGTTCAGGTATATACATTTTTTTTTTTAAGGATTATTGAGCAAGTGCTGCCTGCAAGGCACTGTGCTGGGTTCTATGCAGGACAAGGTGCGTGTTCCACAGGCTCTGACTGAATGATGGAAGTCACGTATCTTGAGATGAGATAAAGTTCTGAGCCAGGTATACCTCAGGCCCCTGAAGCCAGTTCTGTTTTAAGGTCCCTAAGTGTCCTTACCCAAATCTGGCGATCTCATGCTGGTCTTATTTTAGGCTGCTGTTACTTTCTACCTGAGCCCCTCCAGTAGCTCATGCCCCCTCATAGTCTCACCCTTAAGGGTGTGGTGGTCCCCGTCCCAGTCAATTCTCAGCTTAGATTGTTCTTATCCTATATGCTCCATGATCTAGGGCCCTCTCTGCTTAGCTCTTCCTGCCATTAGCACTTCCCAGGAAACTTACTGTGACAATACTTTCCTTGTGATTCCTCCAAAAGAATCCTGTACTTTTCCAGCTCTGAGCCTCTTCTGATTCCATTATTATTTTTTTTTCCACAGTCACCCTTCACATCAGAATGTGTCATATCCCACCTAATGGGTCACCTCAAGTGTCACTCTTGACTGAAATGTTCCTGAAGGATTAATCAAATGGGAACACTAGCTCCTCAGGGCCCCCTCAGAAGGGTTCTAGTCACAGTCCCCTTGTAAACCCAGGGGATTAAAACCTTCCAGACCAAAATCACAGCACTATCTGGTTTGCTTCCCTCTTGCAAAACTAACCTCAGAGCTATCAGCAGTGCATATATATTTGTATATGATTTGGTTACTTATTCAGATGTGTGTATGTATGGGGTATATGTAGACAACATGTGGAAGTCAGACGGTAACTTTCTAAGAATCGGTTCTCTTCTACTATGTGGATACCAGGGATCAAATTCAGGTCATCAGACTTAGCAACAAGTACCTTTATCCTCCCCCACCCCTTCCCGAGCCATCTCACCTGGCTTTATTTTGTTTGGTTTGGTTTTATTTTAAGATATGCTTCACTTTTATTTTATGTGTATGAGTGTTTTGTCTGCATGTATGTATGGGCACTCCATGCATGCTTAGTACCCACAGAGACCAGAAAAGGGCATCAGATATCCTGGGACTGGTTGTGAGCAGCCATTTGAGTTCTGGGAACTGATCCCAGGTTCTTTGTAAAAGCAGCAAATACTCTTAACAACTGAGCTATCTCTCAGTGCCTTCTTTGATTTTTATTTATTTATTTATTTATTTATTTATTTATTTGGTCTGTTTGTTTTGAAACTGCATCTTGCTATGTTCAAATTTCTGGGTTCAATATATCCTCCTGCCTCAGCTTGGCAAGCCACAGGAAGAGGGTTGCAGTTTCATATTGTGCTGGGTGGCTTCCACAACACTTTTACTTTGATTGTTACAGGTGCTCAATAATGTTGACTTCTGTGTCTAGGAAGAGAGACAGAGGTCTGGAAAGCAGCACAGAGTTCCTGTGCATTCTGAATGGTGATAGTGTCTTATTATTGTAGAAACTTCTTAGTTTTACATCTTATGTGACCCATCCAACAGGGGTTACTGACTTCTTGTCCCTGCCTTATCCTTCTTTGAATAGCTTCTCTTGGGGTGTCCCTAGGTAGTCATTGCACCTTCGTTGTGTGTGTGTATGTGAAATGCACGTGATGTGTGTATTCATTTTCATGTGTGCTGAGGCAAGCAGAGCTGGGTCAGTGAGTTTTAGTGTGTTCTTGGTCTTCTTGGAAGTTTGTGCAACGACTTCCCTTCTGACATGTGTGTTTTCTACGCATACTTCCAAGTATGCGAATGTGTTATTCTGCGGTCCCTTGATCTTGCTGGACCTCTCTCAGGATGGTGGCTGAGCCATCTGTTATATGTCTGGGAGCCCCCTCTAGCTACCTCATGTCCGGACATGTGCTTACCCCCAGCGATTGCACCCACCCGCATTAGTAACCTCCCAGGCAAAACGTGCACTGGGACACCTAGGGATTAAACAGCCAAGGCTCCGCCTACATTTTGTTTCCTCCTCGGAATTTCCAGCCCTTTGTAGCCAACTGCGAAGGCGGAGTTCCTTGGGCCGTCCCCTTCCTTGACTATATAACTAGCGCCGCCTCGCTTGGGGATCAGCACACCTCTTCTCTCTCTCTCTCTCTGCACGGCTCTGAAACTATGTGCCACTCGCGCAACCACCTGCACACCATGACTGGCCTGCCGGCCCCGGCTCCCGCTCCCTCTACCAACTCGGAACTCCGGAGGGGCTCCGGTCCCGAGATTTTCACTTTCGACCCTCTCCCGGAGCCGGCGGTGGCGTCTGCCGTGCGTATGAACACTTCCCGCGGGCACCGAAAACGCAGCCGAAGGGTGCTCTACCCTCGAGTGGTGAGTATCGCCTGAGTGGGCAGCAAGGGGTTCGCGTCGTTCTGGTACCTACCGGGAACACTAGACGCGGGGCCCTTGATCTCATTTAACCTTCTTTTATCTCCTCCCAGGTCCGGCGCCAGCTGCCAACCGAGGAGCCCAACAGTGCCAAGAGGGCTCTCTTTCTCCTGCTCACCATCATCTTCTGCCAGATCTTGATGGCTGAAGAAGGTGTGTCGCAGACCCTGGCTACGGAGGATGCTACCAGCGCCGCGTCACCTGAACCCGTCTCTGCGCCCATTACTGCGGCCCCGGTCCTCGAGCCCTTAAACCTGACCTCGGAGTCCTCAGACTACGCTCTGGACCTCAAAGCTTTTCTTCAGCAACACCCAGCGGCCTTCTGAATGCGACGGGTCACACTCGGTCCGAAAAAGAAAAAAAACAAAACAAAACAACAGAGGCACCAGGCGTATCTGGTGCGCCAGAGCGTATCCCAAACTGGGACTTACTTATAAGGCAATGTTAACTCAGAACACTACGGCCAAGATGCCGGTGCTTGAGGCGAGCCCGAGGCACTGTGGGTCCTGGCTAGGTCCACTGGGAAGGACAGAAGCCTTCTCAGCGTCCTAATTAATATTTATGTATTTATGTATATCCTCCTAGGTGAAGGAGGGGGTGTATGTAATATTTATTCTAACTTATGCAGGGGAGCGAGATATGCTCCCTTGCTGTAACACAGACATCTGGATTATTTATTAATGATTTATAGGGTCGGTGAGACAGAGTGATGGGAGGGAGGACCTGGGTGGGGATTAGACTTGGTGGTAGGTCATGGGTTTAGGGGCAACACCCCGTCTTTCAGCCCCTCAGCTCTGTAGTGTGTTGTAAGGCTTTCCGCAGACCCTTGGGAATCCGGTCTGTGGCCTTTGATGTCTTCCGGGTTGCTTCTCAGGGGCGGCTGCGGGAGTCTTGGGTCCATGGATTGTCAGAGGGCGGCTGTTGGGGGTCGCCTAGTATGTTCTGTGAACACGAATAAAATTGATTGCCGGTTATTATTACCAGCAGTTCTCTAAGTGTATCTTTTCATGCGGCTAAAAAAGGGGGGGGTTGCGGGAGGATGTGACTAGTTCCCCGGTCCGCACCCCTTCTTGGGTCCCGAACTCTTTCTTGGAGTTACAAAGCTATATCCGGTCACCGGATACTGTCACACATTGCTGGGTCTGCGGTTTTGCCAGTTGGATGGTAGTGTGGCAACCTGCTTACTCACGGCGGACGGCGGGTACCCAGCGACCTGCCTGGGAGGGCGTGGCCTCGGTAGGGGGCGGAGCTTCCTGGCCGGGGCTGGCGGGAGAGCCTGGCAAGACCCCCGGGCTGCCGAGATCTGGAGCGCTGCGGACCAGAGCGGGGCCTGCCGGGAAAGGGGCGGGCCGAGGGGTTGGGTGGGGGCGGGGTCGCGGCTGCTGCAGCAACAGGGTGCGGCCGAGTCCGGGGCACCAGCGCTGCTTCCAGTAAGCTTGGTGTCCGAGCTGCCCCTGCCTCTCGCTAGGGCTCTGCGCGTCACCGTGCTTCCCAAGACCCCGGTAGGGTTGCAACCCGAGTCCCGGAAGGTGAGTGGGGAGGGGAGGCGGGGCCTCGGGCGGCCGAGGAGCGAGGATACGGAACCGTATACAGACCTTTGGGCGCGGAAGATCTTTGTGGGATGGAGGGGCTAGGTGGCGTGGGAGAAGAAGACCGTGAGAATCAGCAGGAGTAGAGGAAGAAGTCCCTGGGGATCTTAGGACTGTCACAGGGTGCTTAAGGGACTGGGCGGTGGCAGGGGCAGAACGTTCTCCTGAAGGGAGGGGAGAGGAGGTGCCACAAGGCCCGTTCCCCTCTGCAAAGGCTTCCTCTCCATCCCCTTCCAGCTGCAGCCTCAACCATGTTTTTCACTTGTGGCCCAAATGAGGCCATGGTGGTCTCCGGTAAGTTTCTTCCCAGCCAGTAACACCCGCTCCACCCTACAAACCCCTTTAAGCCTGACCTCTGCTCCCTCCTCTCCTCCCTTAGTTTACCAGCCCTAACCTTCTGCCCATGATGGCCACAAACCACTGTGATTCCCTGCCTCTATTTTCCAAGAACTCCCAGGTTCTCCTTGTGTGTTTCACCCTTCATAGTCATTTTAGTTCTACCGTGGCCACATTATGCCCTCACCTTACAGGGTTCTGCAGGAGCCCCCCAGTCATGGTGGCTGGAGGCCGAGTTTTTGTCCTGCCCTGCATCCAACAAATCCAGAGGTAGGTAAGCACAGAACCGCCCCCCCCCGGGGGGGGGTATTTTCCTCTGCTCTTTCTCTTACTGTCTGCTCCTTTTCCCCCTAGGATCTCTCTCAACACACTGACCCTCAATGTCAAGAGTGAAAAGGTTTATACCCGCCACGGGGTCCCCATCTCAGTCACGGGCATTGCCCAGGTGAGGCTTTCAGAGCCTTCCCCACAAATCGTACAGCCATCTTTTCCTGGCCATTGGGCACCTTTGACGAGGGACTATTCTGGACTCTGCCTTTCTTCTAGTCTCACCTTCTCCAGCTAGCCGCCCCCAAGGCACTGAGTTATTTTTCCTCCTTTCTCTACTATGGCTGCAGGTGAAAATCCAGGGCCAGAACAAGGAGATGTTGGCAGCTGCCTGCCAGATGTTCCTGGGGAAGACCGAGGCAGAGATTGCTCACATTGCCCTGGAGACGCTAGAGGGCCACCAGAGGGCCATTATGGCCCACATGACTGTGGAGGTGGGACTGGGGGACAAGAAAGGATCAGGGTAGGATGCCGGGATGAGCAGCACCTGAGGACCACCTTGTCTGTGATAAACAAATCTGACCTCCCTCTCCTCATTTTTCTCTCTAGGAGATCTATAAGGACAGACAGAAATTCTCAGAGCAAGTTTTCAAAGTGGCCTCCTCAGACCTGGTCAACATGGGTATCAGTGTGGTTAGCTACACCTTGAAGGACATTCATGATGATCAGGTAAAAATATGCAGTTGGGGCAGGCTTGGTGGCTGGAGCCTGCAATCCCAGCACTGGGTATAGGGTAGGGGGACTAAAGCAGGAGGGAGCCATAGGTTATCTAGGCTACGTAGTGAGTTCCATTCCAGCCTGGACTACATAGTGAGTTCCAGACCAGCCTGGGCTACAAAGTGAGATTCTGTCTCAAACAAACAAACAAAAAAACAGCCCATGATGGTAGCTGCACTTGGGAGTCAGAGGTAGGTGGATCTCTATGAGTTGGAGGCCAGCCTGGTCTATAAGGCAAGTTCCAAGACAGCCAGAGATACATAGTAAAGAGACCTTGTCTGGGAAAACAAAGAACAAGTTCACTGGTAAAGCATTAACCTAGCCTCCTGTGCTGGGGGCTCTGGTTCAACCCCTGCATCACAAAACAAAAAAAGCCTTATTTCATCTCTCAAATCCTCCTGAGACCCTGGTTTCACTCTCCCACAGGACTACTTGCACTCTTTGGGGAAGGCTCGCACAGCACAAGTTCAGAAAGATGCTCGGATTGGGGAGGCAGAGGCCAAAAGAGATGCCGGGATTCGGGTAAGGGAGATTGGGTTTTCTTGATCACTGCTGACTTGTTAGACACCCGAGGGCACAAGGGGGTTTGGAGGGTCCAGCTGAGTGCAGTTGGCCAAGCTGGGTCATCAGGGGGTGACAATAGAGACATCTGGCAGAGAGCAGGCCCTTACCCCTTGGCCTCCCTCACTTATCTGTCCTAGGAGGCTAAGGCCAAGCAGGAGAAGGTATCTGCACAGTGCCTTAGTGAAATAGAGATGGCCAAGGCACAGAGAGACTATGAGCTGAAGAAGGCTACCTATGACATTGAGGTCAACACTCGTCGAGCACAAGCTGATCTGGCCTATCAGCTGCAGGTAAGTGCAGCCACACAGGGCTTGTGTAGGCTACTCGGTGATTCCTCTCCATTCTCTCTTCCACCTGTATAGGAGACACTTCTATCTTTGTTCAGATTCTAGTTCCCCAATGTTAACCCATCTCCCCCATATAAAAAAAAGACAGAACAGTCTCAAGCAGAGACTGGAGAGGTAACTCAGTTGGTAAATGTGCTAGGTGGCATGTGATCCCCATGTTGGGGTGGTAGAGGCACCTTGGGGGATCACTGGTCAGCAGAGCTAGCATAATCATCAAACCTCAGGCCAATGAGAGACTGTCTCAGAATGTCAGGTAGATGGTGCCTGAAAAGGAATGATGGTGTAAGTTATCCTCTGGCCTCCACAAAGACACCTGTACATGCATGTGTGTGTGTACATACATGTAGGCTGGAGCATTCAGCTGAAAATCTCCCAAAAAAGAGAATGAGCCATGTGATGATGGTGGCACACCCTTTTAAACCCAGCACTTGGGGGGCAGAGGCAGGTGGATCTCTGTAATTTCAAGGCCAGCCTGGTCTACAGAATGAGTTCTAGGACAGCTAGGGGTGCTATCCAGAGAAACCCTGTCTCAAAAACCAAAAAGAAGAGAGAGAGAGAGAGAGAGAGGAAAGGAGGAAAGAAAGAGAGGCCATGAATTGGATTGATGAAGAGGGCTAAGCTATGCCGGTCTGTAAGGGCATCTGGCTGCAGATAGTGAGGAACCACCTGTGCTCTACTCGCCAAGCTGTGTTCTGGGTATGAGTCTGCAGCTGTTCAGAAGAGGAGAAGCCTTTTCTCACTTGCACAAGGTACCCCAAAATTGTGGTGATCAAAGAAAAGGGTGAGGAAGGAAACATATCTGGGCCTTGAATTACAGAAGTGATCTACGGGCAGCCCTTTATGTTACAGGAAGGTTTAGTTGGTCCCTGTCATTCATGGATTGCACATTTGTGAATCTGCCTGCTCACAGGCATTAGCGGGTGAGCCCTAGGTCAGTGCTTGCAGCATTTGTGTAAAGCCTGGGCAGGCACAGCATGCTGAGAAACTCTAGTTGCCTGATGTAGTGTCCAGATGAGATCAAATAAGGAAAATGCTGCTTTGTTTTAGCTCTCAAGCTGCAAAGGACTTCACCACATATCAACATCATTTCTGCTTTTTTTATGCTTTTTGTTAGTGATTTTGCTGTTTAAAGTGACTCTTGGGACTGAGGGCATAACACACACACATGCTCACAATAAAACAACACTCACATAGTACTAAAGTGCTGTGTGGACTTCCTTAGCACAGACGCTGTGGTATGCCTTATGGATAAAGTGTGTTTTTAGGTTACCTTTGTTCAGACAGGGATGCATCAGCTCTGTGTGTTTCTTATGAGGTATATTTACTTTTTGTTTTTTGGTTGTTTTTGTTTTGTTCTTTGAGACAGGGTCTCACTATGTACGCTCTCTGTCTGGTCTGGAACTGACTGTGTAGACCACTGACTGGCCTCAAACTCACCTGCCTCTATCCTCCAAAGGCTAGGATTAGAGTTTCACACCACCATGTCCTGCTTGTTTGTTTGAGAAAAGGTCTCACACTATAGTCCAAACTGGCCTCAAACTTGTAGCAGTTATCTTGTTTCAGCCTCTTTGTTTTTAAGAATTATTTTATGTTTTGTCTGCATATATGAGTTTTGCCAGAAGAGGGAATTAGATCCCATTATAAAGATGGTTTTGAACCACTATAACCTTGGAATTGAACTTAGGATCTCTAGAAGAGCAGCCAGTGCTTTTAACTACTAAGCCATCTCTCCAGCCCTGTTCAGCTTCTTTACTGCTGGGATTACAGGCCTGTACCATCATGTATAGCTTGGAAGGTATCTTTGGGTTTTCAATACAGGGTTTCTTTGTGTAGCCTTGGCTGTCCTGGAATTCACTCTGTAGACTAGGCTGGGCTCAAACTCAGAAATCCACCTGCCTCTGCCTCCCTCCCTAGTGTTGGGATTAAAGGCGTGCACCACCACATGTGTCTAGAATGTATCATTTAAACAAAAACACTTAAACAAAATTAAATATTTATTGATGTAGACTAGGCTGTTCCTTGAACTCACAGAGATCCTCCTGCTTCTGCCTCCAAATGCTAGGTGTAGCTGGCTTTCTTGAACCTCCAACCCCCAAATCATAACACAGAGACTTACTAATTATGAATGATTGGCCCTATCTTAGGCTTGTTTCTAGCTACCTTTTTTTTTTTTTAATTTAAAAAATTAAAGGCATCTCTCTGCTGCCCTGAGGCTCATTTACCTCATCTACAAACTTTTCTTACCACTTTCCTGCTTCCTCTATGTCTGTCTGACTGTCTGACCCCCCCCTTTTCTCTCTTCCCACCAACTCTACCTTATTAAACCAAATAGGTACCTTAGACAGGCAAGGTGAAACAGCAACACATCTTTACATAGTTAAACAATTATTCTGCAACATGAACAAATACAACACATCTTTACATAGCTAAACAAATATTCTATTCCACAACAACTGGGGTTAAAGGTGTTCACTGCAGTCCTGTGGTAATTGAGCACACCTTTAATCCCAGTACTCGGGAGGCAGAGGCAGGTAGATCTGTGATCTACAGA